CATACATACATACATATCTATATATGCATCTATACATACAATTTAGTTATTTGATTCTCTATTTGTGGCATAATTATTTCACAAATAAATAAATAAACGAACAGATAAATAAGTTGCATACATTTATTTATTGCTTTAACTGTTTACATGTGCATGACTTTGTTTTGGGCCTGCTCAGGCAGTTTTCGCAAGGCTGGCCATCCGCAGTGTTACCGTCCAACTAAAGCTGCCGAATTAGGGGTTCTTAACGGACGTTCAGTAAGTCTCGTCGAACAGGAAGAGTCTAGCAATCATGTTGTGGGCCAGAACCTAGGAAGCGCACTTCACAAGCGCATGACCCCAACAATGGAACCCGAAAACCCCGAAACCTAGGCCAAAACCCCCACTCCCCGAAATCAGAAAGCCTCAAACCAAACCCAGCTACCCCGAAAGCCTCGTCGTTGCCAGGTCCCTGTGGGCCGGCAGTCCGCGAGAAGCGCGAGATAGACTCCGTCGTCGTGGTGTGTCGGAAGGCGTAGTACACCTGTCCACTTGGGGTGCTTGGGCTTCAGGATGATTTCGGGATGTAGGGCACAGGGATTACCAAGATGCATGGTGAAGGTTGCTGCGGGGGGGAGGTACAAGCCTTACAGCATAAATGATCTAGGCTTCGAGTTGAAGGTACCGTCGAACGTGCACGCGGTCCTTCTGACCTGACTCAAAGCATATGAGATGAGTCCCCACCTGGTCGCGTTTCGGGTCGTAGGTCATGGCCTGTCAAGTTAGAAGAAGGAAATCCAGAACTGGGCTTCAGGGCTATTATGCCCCACATTCGGCATCCGTCTTTTGAGGAACTACCAGCGCATGACTTCCCAGGCTTCCCTAGCCTTGAGCACGTTGGCGCCAGTCGCAGAGGCACTCCCGGTGTCCATGATCCTGGGACTTGGAGCTTTGAGCTCCTACAGTCTCTGGCCTAAGGCTGAGGCTCAAGGTTTTGAGGGCGTGGTTTTAAGAAAGAAACGCTGTAAAAACCCAAAACCGTGAACCTTAGGCCCCAAGCCCTGAGCACTAAAGCATCAAAAGCTGCTTCAAACCCTTTCCAAGTCGCCGGTCCCAACATCCTTTCCAACCGACCCGCCCGTCTGCATTCAGAGTCGGCCAGAGGGCGGCCTAGTGGTTTTTGCAAGGTCTGAAGGGTTTTGCTTTTGGGATTTAGGGTTTCGGGTTTTGGGGTTTTGGAATGCCTCCTGATTGCTGTCCATGGGCTCTTAAGGGGTCAAGTCTTGGCGGCTTTTGGGATTTAGGATTGCGCTCAGGCTGAGTTTGGGGAAGGCAGCTTATAGGGTCTAGCCTAAATCCTAAACCCTAAACCCTAAACCCTAAAACCCTAAACCCTAAACCCTAATTCAGGGTTCGGGGATCTGAACAAGCTCTGGCTTTCGGGAATCCTGGGATCGAGGATTTGGTAATGGACCTCACAGATCTCCACATGGATCCCATGTGCTGCAGCCGCTGTAATCATCATAAACGCAACACTTACTCATTTACTACAAAACAGGTATAGCATACTCACTGGAAATGCTCGTAACGTTATATTCAGAAGCTGAGAGGGTGACTTGCGCTTTGCAGGCAGCCACGTGAGTGTCGTTCGCGAAGTTCTTGGACGGTAGATGCAGACAGAAAAGGCACTCCGGATAGCCCTACCCTTGCAATGAAGCTGAGGACGTGACCAAGGCCTTAATGGCATTCACCTCATGGCTCAGGAGTGTGCCATCGCAGGCGACCATCAAGGAGGACCTCAGTCAGCTTTGGGGGTGAAGTCGAGTTGGATGGTGCCTTCAAACACCTGTCCGTGCATCCAAGTCAAGAAAATAAGCTCCTGCTCTGCATCACGAGTGGCCAAGAACCGTATGCATAGTGGCCCGCAATCTCGCCGACGTCGCAGGGTTCAAAGACTCCCTGGCTGGGTGTCCATCCCTGGACGTCGAGGTACAACCTCGCGATTGGAACGCTTTCAGTCGCAAGTCCACCTACTTTGTCCTAGGCGACCACATGTGCCTCGGAATGGCACTATCTGCCTACACAGTTGCAGCAAGAATTAGTGACGGGCAAGAAACAGAGACACATAGCCCGTGCTGGGCTGTGGGGAGAACCAGTAGACGATCTCCGCCTCTGGATCGATGGCGAGCTTCACTTGGTTGGGGACCGTGTCATCGTTCCCAGGGAAGAGCTGTGTGCTTTGATGGTAGAGGACCTCCACGGCCGCTTCGATAACGGCCTGAACCACACGACGGCCCAAAGATGCAACGCAAAGACACCCCAAAACCCGGGAAGCTTTAGATTTCTCGGCCAGGCACGTAGCGGTCGTCCAAGACTTGTGTGGAGCCGGAGTGCGGGCAGCTGCTCACCTTGCAGTCCTCAGCGGCCGGAGAATACCCGGAAAGACGAGGACTAGAGGAGCCATTGCTGTACAAGTAGTAGTAGTAGTAGTAGTAGTAGTAGTAGTAGCAGTAGTAGTAGTAGTAGTAGTAGCAGCAAGACAGCCACGACAGTGCGAGTAGACAGCATACGAACAAACACGACAACACTGGCAATCCAAGTGATTATAACTACGACGTTAGCAGTTTCCGAAACAATACTAACAACGGCACTCTTGAGAACAAACATGCCTTACAGAATGTCAGCGCGCCATGAATTTCACAAGTACCCGATTCAGAAAGCCCGAAAACCGCTTGCTTAAAACTTCCCGAAACCCCGGTATACAAAAAGAGACCAGCAGCCACGGGGTCTGGCATCTTTGCCGCAGTCTCCAGGACCGAAATGGGCACCTTGACTAGCTTCTCACAAGAAGCTAAGTTCTACATAAGGGTAGAGTTGTTATAGGGTTTAGTGTTTAGGGTTTAGGGCTGGTGGCGGCGAGCGCCCAAACCCAAAGCAAACGCTCATGGCAATGCACGGTCACAACCCGCTCTAGCAAACAGAGCTTGCATCTTCCCACTCCCAAGGAAGGACTTCGAGGATCTCCAACCACTCTCCCGATGATAAAACTCCAGAAACTCTACACCCTAAACCCTAAACCCCAGAAACCCTAAACCCTAAACCCTAAACCCTAAACCCTAGGCCCTAAACCCTAAACCCTAAGACCCTAAACCCTAATTTTAAAGCCAAAACAAATGGGCTTCCTCGGAGGCGCCCTCTTCAGAGCATGCTCTGAGCAGACCCCCGGCAAGGCGGAACGCTCGCAGGACATCCAGTACACGTAGCCTGAGCAGGAACGGAGTTAGGGTTTAGGGTTTAGGGTTTGGGGTTTAGGGTTTAAGGTTTAGGGTTTAGGGTTTAGGGTTTAGGGTTTAGGGTGTTAGGTTCAGGACTTCGGGCTTAGATTAGGGCCTGGGGGTATAGGGTTTAAGATGGGTGTAAGGTTCAGAAAGAGGCACAGACTATTGACAAGGGGCCGTGGATGAGATCGACTGCTGGCCCTTTGACTGCAACACCATAGCCCCATGGACTCTTAATTCCTGGGATGACTCCATCGTTGCCACCACCTGTTGCGATTTCTTGGTAGTGGTCATACGCCCGCCGCTGACCTTTCGAAGGGATCGCATCGCGAGAGGAGGCATTGCTTTCGTTGAAAGGAGGGGCTCATGATCTACCGACCTTTCAGTGAAATCTAAATCTCGCACAGTCAGGGCAATTAATGATACTCTTCCAGCATGGGACTCCGAAAAAACCCAAGCCCCAGATGGACCAGCTCCTGGCCTATGTAGTCATAGCCCCATCCACCATCTGCAGCTCGTGCGAGGCCCTCCATCGAGATGTAGTCTCGCAGCAAGTAGCTGGGTGCCTTGTCACCAGCATCGATGCTGAAGATGATGTGCCTGGTGCTCTGCAGCTTTCCAAACTTCAAGCTATGCTGGACAAGGCTGCCAGGCTGCCAAACCACGCTATCCGGCAGCGGGAGCTCGAATTTGGACTACCCGTGACTAGCCCCATGCAAAACCTGAAAGCCTGCCTGGTGTCAAAGCCGCTCGTCTCGGCCTGTGGCTGCCAAACCCGGGATCAACAGGAGTCTCTCCGTGTCTAGGGTACTGACGCTAGGAATGAAATCTGAGAGCAAAAGGCGGTCCTTCCCACATCGTGTGCGCGTCGTGGCTTTGAGCTTGGTGGACAACGTGTCGATAGTTGCCGGTGTGTTGCCAAAGCATGGGTTCCTGCTCGCATTCGTCTGCACGGCTCTCCCATATGATGTATGCTGCTGGCGAAAGCCCGCGGAGAATCTCTCAACTCTACAGCTTGCTGTTGGACTCAAGGCGACGGAAACATTGAAGCAGACGGGTGCAGTGGTCCTGGTGGGGTAGGTCCCGCTTGCTGGGAGCAACGCAATCCTTGAACTCAATCATGCTATGGCTGCCACTGCTGTGAAACGGACACCAATGCCGTGCAAGGAAGCATCCCACTATAATGTGATGTACACGCAACTGTGATGCTCGCGCGAAGGGTGGCCGGCTCTAAATACTGACAATACACATCTAATTCAAATCTCAGTCAACAACGGTAAGCATACTGTTCAATAGCAATAAAGAGCAATGACAATGGTTACGATAATTCCAAAGGAACAACAATAGCAAAGCTGGTGATGCTGCGGGCGACCACGACGCCCAACCACCACGACCACCGCGACCATGACCACGACGACGACCACGACCACGACGACCACGGCAAGGACAACGGCGACCAAGACCACGACCACAACAACAACTACAACTAAAGTTACAACAACAACAACAACAACAACAACAACAACAACAACAACAACAACAAGGTACAAACAAAAACTGCAGCCCCGTCAACTCATATCTCTGTACGGGTAGAGACAGAAACAGGAGCCCCGTCATGTTGTTTTAACCCCCCCCAACAACAACAACAAAAACAAAGTGCCTAGGGTGTGTAGTGTAGGGTTTGGATGATTTGCAGTCTTGCACGGATTTTGTGTATTTGCATGGATTCTGTGTATTTGCG